ACTTACCTGCTGGGAGGATTAAGGAAAGGAAAGGAGATTTCTGATGCTCCCTGTCAGATTCCCACAAGGAAACTCAATGGGGAAGCCACCAGAAAGTCAGAAGTTGATTCTGTTTCTCTATTTAGATAAGGAAATAACTCTGAAATGATGACCCAACTGGGCATGGGTTTCTCCTATATTATCATGCTGCTCCTGATTTTATTTAACATACTGATATGCTCTGAAGTGATCTGGAAGTTCTTCATGGGGAGGAAGAGAATCCTAATCCCTTCCTGCAGTCTCCTTGTGCAGCACTGTACCTTCAAGTATAAACAAAATTCAAAAGCAGAGCAACACTTCAGACATTCTATGTGTTGTTCAATACAGTCTATCTGTGTTTTCAAAAAGGGTCAGAAAGCTGACTCAGAGCTAAAAGAACTGCTATGTTTCATGGACAGCTAAGCCTCCCACAACCACACTCCAAACAAAAAGGCATTATCACAAACTGCTTTTGAGAATACTATTTATCACCTGGCATTATCAGCTTTTCCAAAGAAGAAAAAACTATAAATCCAAGTAGGGATCTGGAGGTTTTGGAATTCTTAGGAGTCCAGATAATGACATAAACACATGATTTGAGTCTATTTCTGTGTTTCCAAGTAATGCTTATTTCCAGGAAGACTCTGTATAGCCAGACAGCAGGTTGCAGTTATGTATTGCCTGATGGTACTTGTGGTTATATTTGAAGAAGCTTAAAACTAGCTTTTGTCTGCCACCACAAGTATGAACTGTTTGGATGTCTCACAGGAAGAAAGAGTTGTCCTTATTTATAGAAAAGTTATAGCTAAAGAACTGTGAATTGTTTGGCAGCTTTTGTTTCAAAGTGCAAGGAACAGCATGAGGTGTATATGCATGTGTGTAGGTATGAATATAGAAAGATTTGGAAGTTGTGGATGGGCATTTCTCACCCAAAGCATTTATCACCAACAGCTATAATCTCATCCTCAGTCAGCCAGTTTTCCCATTTCAACACTCTTATCTCTATCCATTTGGCTACTTAGCTCGGAATACTAAACCTGCCAGATTTTTTTCATTTTTAATTTGTACTGATAACTTGGAAGTGGATAAAGGTTTTTCCTTTGCTTTGCACACACACAGTCCCTGATCAATTCTCATGTTATTGCCCAAAGACTTAATCTTTCCCTGGCTATCATAATAGCTTGTTCTGAAAAGAACTGGCTCTTTGTTGTTCTGAAATTTGTGACAGATATGTTTTCTGTTTAGTCTTCACGATGTTTCCAATTTCAGCTCATAGCTCCCCAGATTCTTTTTTTGCATCACTTAATTGAGCTGAATTAATTCCTTATGCTATATTGTGATCGTACGTTCTCCAGTTCAAATCTTGCTGGTTCACATATCCTATTTAATTTTCTTATTTTAATGTGCATACTTGATATTACTAATTCATGTTTCTCTCCATCATTTACATATGCAAAGTGTCCTGGCTGACTAGATTGCCCTTCTTAATCTCTTATTTCCTACTATTATGTTGCAATATTGTCTATCTAAGGCAGGGGTATCAAACTCGGGGTATCTAACTCAACTTTTATTGAGGGCCACATCAGGGTTGTGTTTGATCTCAGGGGACAGGGTGAGTGTGGCCAGGATGGGCATGGCCAGCTTCACATCACTTGTGCTGGGAGCACCTGTGGCAGCCTGAGCACTCTGCCAGCGAAAACCAATTTTTTTCCCCCAGTAAAGTGCTGCTATGTCATATGACAAATGCTATTTCAAAAAAATGTTTCCGCCATCTTCTTATCAGACGTAAGAGCAACAGCAGTTACAACTTGCCATCATAAAAGGGGTTCCATTTGTAGCTATTTTGTTACAGAAAAAAAGATCGCACTCCAATGTAAATTTATTTACTTATTTATCATATTTTTATATTGCCCTATTTCCCAAAATGTTATGGTAATATACAATTAAAATTAAGACACATTACAATATCTAAATACACACCAACAACGCCATGCAAGTTGTATATCAATAAAAAGAAGGGAGCAGAAATAGAGTAGCCATGTTGGCGCAGTGGTTAGAATGCGGTATTGCAGGCTAACTCTGCCCACTGCCAAGAGTTTGATCCTGAGTGGCTCAAAGTTGGCTCAGCCTTCCATCCTTCCGAGGTGGGTAAAAATGAGGATCTAGTTTATTGTGGGCAATATGCTGATGTTGCAAACCACTCAGAGAGTGCTGTAAAGCACTATGGAGCAATATATAAGTCTAAGTGCTATTGCTATAAAGCTATACTGATCTCCAAATCTCCCCTGATAACCTCACAGCACAAGTTACAATGCAAAACACCCATAAAGCATTACATTAATTAATCTATTATATTAAAGCATTGTTCCAGAGCAGAGGTCTCCAAACTTGGACTTCAACGCCTAGAATTCTCCAGCCAACATAGCTGGCTGGAGAATTCTGGGAATGAAGTCCGTAAGTCTTAAAGTTACCAAGTTTGGAAACCCCTGTTCTAGAGAGCCAGTATGGTGCCATGGTTAAGATATTGAACAAAAAGTGGTAAACTTAGGTTTCCCTTGGCAGAGTAAACCAGTTGGGTGATCTTCAGCCAGTCATTCTCTCTCAGTGTTAATCGTTGTCTAGTTCTATAACAAGCTGGCTAAGAAATATTCTTTGCTGTAAGAATTAGGCATGTGCAATACAAAATAAGTAGGCCCTGCAACTAAACAGGACAAACACTAAGAACAGCATTAATAAAGCATTTTTAATTATTGTAAACACTAACCACTTGTCCCATCTTGATTACAACATATTCTGCATCCTTTTGATAACATGTATCCCAACAACCATTAGGGATGAGTGATCATTTGCAGGCAGTCCTTTTAGAAGTGTGCTTCACACACACAATGAAAAAATATTCTCATACTTAGCTCTTCAGAGTTTACAGTGTCAAATTTAAGCAATGCAAAGATATCTGTTCAAGCCTGTCTTGAACTCATTCTGACTTCAAGAGAGAATAAAAGGCATTGGCACAGTTCAGTCACTGTCAGCAGTAAAACAATGTAAGGAAAGAACACCGTGAGTCCATTTTTTTCATCTCACCCAAATGAACAGGGAAGGAAAATTATGCAGACTGAGTCCCTATACATTGAGTTGCCATGCAAGAGTCATTCCACCTCTAGTGCTTGATACCACCACCAGAAACCATTTTAGCCTGGTCCCAAGTATTAATAAATAGATTGTCTCCGCATCCGAAAGAAGCCTGTAGGACTCTCCATTGAACAAAGTACTTAAAACATTTTCTCCATTGAACAAAATACTTAATCTTACCAGACCACCCGTAATCCACTGTGTTAACAACAAAGATTATTATTATTATTATTTCTTTCCTCTATAAAATACGGGCTGCCGTTTTACAATCAAAGTTTTTGCCAAGGCATTCTGCCATTCCAAGCTCCACTACATTCATGTAGGACCCTAAATTCCTAGAAGCTATTTCATTATTTCCCACTAGGATCCATCTCTATTCAGTGAAGCTGATAAAAGCAAGCCCTGACAGATGATAAGAAGAAATTCACACACGTGTCAATTCGATGGCTCTTGTTTTTGGGGTGGGTGGGTGGGGAGCCTTTATTTTATTTTTTGTGGCAGACCACCATCAGTGGTTAAGTTAACATTTCACTATTCAAGTTAATAATTTAATGGTAAGAACAGGGAAAAATGACAATGTAACCTGGGTGATATTCGCTTTCTCACTTCCTACATATATAAAGTAGCATTAAAGAAGCTGATTAGTAAAGATGTTGCTCTGACTACTTTTTTTTACAAACTGTTCTAAATGTGTGTGTGTGTGTATTCATTTTTATATATGCGTAAATATGTATACATAGAAAGGCCTGTTGGTCTGCTTTATTTATGGTAGGTTCTACTTCCTTGCAATATCAAATTTATGCTGGGCGTAAATATGCCTTTGTTTTACTTCTCAAGTGAAGCCCTTAAAAGCAAATCCATAGCTGTCAATCCTGTCTTAAACACATGTGACATTATGCGAGTGTTTGCTAAACTCTCAATAGGCTAACATGCAACCAGCAGAGTTAGTCAACTGAAGAATTGTCAGAGAGAATTGCAGCTGAACAAAGGAGACATTCACGCTACATTCTGTAGTGAAACACCACATTAAAACCAGCTTTGCACAGGGGGAAGGGAATTGGTATTTTTAAGCAGCTGTGTTGACCTCATGTCTTGAAAGGAAGTGCTTACAAAAGAACAGCCCCCCCCCCCCAAAAAAAGCACACACTATTCACAAAGCAAGAAAACAGTGTAGGGTGATGGAGCTTTTCTCTCTCCATGAAACTGTATAAGATTATATGGCTTTCCAATGGCACTCCATTAGGTGGCACTTAGAGCCGGACCGGTTCATCTTACAGTAATGAAAAGCTGGTGTAAACAAATGCATCTGACCTACATTTCTTTTGATGGAGAGAAATGGGAAAGATTTCATTTTCCCTTAGCATTTGCTTTGTTGTGTGCATAAACAAATAGCCAGAATAGCAGGAAATATAGAGGAGAAGGCTCTGGTGGGTGAATGCTTTCTAAAAATTATTAGCAAAATAGCTCTCTTACTTCCATCAGAAACTAGCACGTGACATATTCCTATTTGAGATGAGTGTATCATTTACTCTATTGTTCCCTACTCACAATTCATCTCCGCCTATTGAAGACATTAATAGCCACTCTCAGCAGCTGCTGAGAATGAGTGAATATTTCTATTGAAGCCACCTTTGGAAATACCTTTGTTCTTTCTGGTCCCATTTCCAGAGATGCAGGGGAATTGACAGATATAACACACCTGGAATATTCATTGACAGCCTCTCACTACTTCTGCACTGCAGTATGATGCTCCTTTTCTTAAGGATGCAGGGTCAGGAGGTGAAGAAATTTACCTGCTGGTAGTAGAGACCAACAAATTTTTCATAGTTTGTTTTGTTTTGTTATTGACTTACCTGATATTCATTTGGCCAGAAGGTGCTGACAGCCAGCTCTGCCCGTAGCCAGTCTTTGCCAGTGGAGCCAGTCACGTTCCAAATGGGGTTTGCCAGAGGGCCTTTGTTCACCCTAACCAAGATGTTCAGAGTCCCAGGGCTTGTCCCTTTCTTACTGTACAAAAGGTAGCTGAAATCGATGCAGTGGGTATCGTTCTCTTTCATGGTAGGAAGCTGAAGCCGAGCCTTTTCTCCATGGCTGTGGTGTGAAGAATCCACTATCATGTAGGAACCTAACAAGAGAAAAAAAGGAAGACCAACAACAGCTAAATATGGAGATACAAGTCAATTCATTCAGAAGACAATGGGGATTGATTCCTGCTTTCACAATAAGGTGAGCCCACTTATTCCCATCTTTAGGGATAGCCTTTTTTTGGTAGTTGCAGCTGTTTACAGAGCCAAGCAGGTGATTGCAGTCAAGCATTCCTGTAAATGCGTCTCTGTGCACTTTTGTTTATGCGAAAGAGCAATTTTCATCCACATTTTGTGTCTCTCTGTGCAGGAAGTCAACTAATTTTCAAAATCAAAAGTATTTTACAGGTAATTTTAATTGTCATTATTAAAATTAACATTAAACTTTTTGTCTGGTCCTTTTTCAGAACGTGGCCTCTGACTTCCAACTTTGCATTTGTGTATTGTCGGATGTGGAAAAATAGCAAGAACTGTTTTTAGTGGGAGTTGACCATCTTGGTTGACAATCTTAAGGAAGATGGAAAGTGTGCTTATAGACATTGTTCTGCCTCCTCTTCCTCTTTGGTGGGGATTCACGAGACTTTTTTTTGTCTTTGGATTATGTTTTAATTGCTCAATTTATACCTTTTTGCTCGGCATCGTTATGATTCAATTATTATGATAGTCTAACATACCCATAAGTGTTCCTGCTGGAACAAACACTTGGTTCATCTGGTCTAACCAACTGCACAAGGAATCCACTAATTTCCTAGCAGAGAGAGTTATACTGCCATCATGGCTAAGCACAATACTAAAAAAAAAAAAAAAAAAGCCTGACAGGCAGATACATACTTACAAACCACCCAAGGGCTCAATCTTTTGAATCTTTTAAAGAAAACACATAAAAGGAAATAGTTAAATTTCCAACACCGAAGCTTCCAAAATTATTTATCTACATTTATAGGCAATGGAGTTAGTCTGTGTGCTAACTTGCTTTCAGGAGTGATTTCATTAACTACCTTTGAAAATGAACTTGAGGTAATGCAAGTTTGAGAGGTTATTGCTCAATGAAAATAAAAAATAGGTCAGTATTTGACAGAAAATTCAACATTTATTTTATCTGTGGGTAAATCTTAATCACTATTCGAAAAATTTTACAGACAGAAAAACATCTTAAATTCTATTGCTGACATGCAATTATCTAAGGAAAAACGAATATGAAGCTATTAAAGTTCACTGGCTTTTTATATTTTGATTAACCACACTGAATGCACTGGAGTTGTAACTTTGAGAAAAGTTTGCACGACTGCACAGGCTGCTGCCCAACCTAATTTTTACTATTTTTTGAAATCTGAAGATAATTGGGCACTAGGATATTTACAGCCATCATTATTGGCAATTTCTACACTGATGGATCAGAAATGACTTAATATAGCACATTAGGAGTTTCTAAAGTAAATGCTGTAGGGATGCATGGAATTCAAATTGTTATGTTCTCATATTCAAAGAACAGACAGACATGTACCCCTAAGCACAGACGGATGATATGTCCCTGAGCACATTTTTTACATATCTCCATTTGTGCTTAGATGGCAGTTCTAAAACTGGGATATCATACTTGATAGAGAACAACATGTGAATTCTGGAGAGAACCTGTGGCTTTTGGCTGATTACTTGAGGATTGTAGGCTAGACTGAGAAATGGGGTGGGGGGGACCGTTCAAAAGTAAACAATAGTAAATCACTTCTTTACAGCACTATTGCCAAAAATAATCTTTGGAGATGTTTATAAAGAAATCAGAACATTCCAGTAAATGTTGAGGCCCTTCCTAGATAATACAGAAATAACCACTAACATATGGGTTGCTATTAATTGGACACCAAGGGAAGGGGGAGTTAAAAAAAAAAAACCCATCAGAAATCCATGTGGCCCACTTTATTTTATTTGGTTTTGGAATTGATTCACTTCCAGTTCATTTCTCAATATAGTTCAAAGTGCTGGCTTTTATCTTCAAAGCCCTAAATGAACTGATGCCAGGATAGCAGAAGACAACATCCTTCCAAAATGAGCTCCTTCCTCTGTAGGCTATAAAGACAGTTCCGCAAGCATCCTACTATTTTCCAGAGTGCAGCTCTTGGATGCGAAACACCTTTTTTTTTTTTTTCTTAAAGCGTCTTGAAAATCATGGTTGTTCCTTTTCCAAGAGGCATGAAATCATCTTTTAAGTTTCTAATAAAAGCTAAGATTTTTACATTCTACCAAGGGCTTAATAAAGATTTCATACTTTCATTCCTCAATTTAGTTCTAACCTACACTTACTACCTCATAACACTTTAATAATTTCAAGTGATATAGTAATAAATGTATTGTTTTATTATTGTATTATTTGAATCTGGAAAAGATACTGCAATTCGCTTTATTTTTATTTGTAAAGCCATAGAAAGTTTCCACATTTCTTGTCTATTTCAGGTGCCAAAATTGTGGATCCATAGCATTGAAACATAAGACAAGCCATATAGCCTTTTAGTTTAAACTTTTAAATTCTATTTCCAACAATTAATTATTCCCAAACAAAAATAATGACTCTACAATTGAAAAATACTGTTTTAAACCTATGTTATATAGATATAAACCCACACATAATGGTCCCAAGGCAATGAATGAAAAAAAAAATCATCCTCAAAATTCTCATCCTAAAAGGTCTTGCCAGGCAGCCCCACCTGAGAGGGGACTCACATTTCCAGAATTCACTTTACGCAGATCAAAGCAGCCAAACAAAAAATCCACAGGGCAGAGCTGGTTCTTGATCCTGCTAAATGGTATTGCTTAATTGGCTGGACCCAGAACATGATTTTGGCTTAATAACAGGACCTAAACTTTGTACAGGGTAGGTAGATACTAGAAGAGAAAGATTGTCTCTCACATAGTTAGGTCCTAGGCTGGGGTATAATAGCTACCATAATAATCAACCTCTTCAATTGTGTCTCAATGCTTACTGTTACCCAATACAGTTCATGCAACAGAGGAGTCTGAAAGCAAGACATGGTTTTTGAAGGTAACATCAGGAAAATCTCATTTCAAAAGACTTGCAAGGTGATTGAGGCATGAATTACTATAAGGAAGGCTTCTTAGTTCTCTTGGTCCAAAAAAAGGCACAACAGCTGCCACCTGCTCCTTTAGCAAGAGATGCCAATTCAAGAATTGACTGGCTAAGGATGAAAAGATGCATCTGAGTATCAGCCACATACTGATAAACCTTAACGGATGAGTTTCTTTACTAGAAAAAAATACACAAAATTGGATGGAAAAAAACAAACAAAATGTATTGAATATATATTTTCTCACACATACATACATACATACATACATACATACATACATACATAATGTAGTACAATAAACATTTCAAGGAATGGAAGCCATAATTCATTACAATCATCTATAGCTAATATTATTGATAAAATATTGGTTTATACATTGCTGATGACATAATTCTACATCCCACTGGATAATTGGGCCACTTCAGAGTCCATTGGCCCTCAGTGACCAATAAATGTAAATAAATAAGTTTATTCTCCAGTGCTGAACAATACAAAAGTCCAACAGGTTGTGATATCTATCCATCCCCAGCCAGGGAAGAGCAACTGAAAAAGGGCCATTGGTTGGGTACCAGGAGACAGATTTACTTCCAACAGTGCTCCAGATATCCCATCTGATTAAACAAAGTTACCAGTTTGCTACTTCTGAAATGCAAAAGGCTATGCTGGTGCAGAACAAACTCCTTCAAGAGAGACAAATACCATGTCTAGAAAGCTGACATTGGCAGCTCAGAAACCTGATGCTCCTGCTGTTTAATGGCTTGCCACTTCCTTACACTGCATTGGGGGGGAAAAACCTGAATGCTGGAATCAAAGCTTTTTTTTAATCTTTCCAATGAAATACATAGCAATATCAATTCTCCAAACCTTTAGGTTTTACCTGGATGAAATAAGATGACTTGAAGTGTAATCTGTTCCCTCCTTGGCCAGAATGCAACGTGATGGATATAAAGTGACAGATACTTTAAAGATTCTCAGCGACACAAGAAGAATCATGTTGAGCATTTACCCTTAAAATTGAATAGGCCTATGGAAAATATAGGTAGTCCTCAATTTATGACCCTAATCGGGACTGAATTTCCAGTTGAACAATGCATGTAAGTGTGAGGACAGATCATAAATCATTTTTTCCAAGACTGCCATAACTTTGAACTATTGTTAAACAAATAGTCGTAAATTAAGGACAACCGGTAGTTGTGTTCATCATACTCTATCTCATTTCAAATACAGCACTTACTGTATATACTCGAGTATAAGCCTAGTTTTTCAGCCCATTTTTTGTGCTGAAAAAATCCCCCTCGGCTTATACTCGAGTCAGATTCCCCTCTGAAAAAAAAAATGGTGTGGAGTCGCGGCCTCCGGTGGCAGCGACTCCCAACAGCCCCAGCCGGGAAGGGAAAGGCAAAAAGCGCTTTGCCTTTCCCTTCCCGAGGCGGCGGGACTGGGGCCGCGCCGGCGGTAGTGACTCCTGACTCAGGGGGCCTCCGAGGGAGGGGAAGAGAGTGACTCCTGCCTCCCGCTGTCATCATCATCTTCTTCTTTTGGGTTAGTGAATCAATTAAACCTTTCATGATAGTGAGATCGTTTCCCAAATTAATTATTTTTATTTTTGAAATTTACCAGTAGCTGCTGCATTTCCCACCCTCGGCTTATACTCGAGTCAATAAGTTTTCCCAGTTTTTTGTGTAAAATTAGGTGCCTCGGCTTATATTCGGGTCGACTTATACTCGAGTATATACGGTATATACTATTTTTGTCTATTTCATTTAATTTTATCCTCCTTTATTTTTTATGAACTCAGTGTAGTATATAAGCTTAATGTTCTCACCTCTTATTTTCTCCACAATAAGGTAGGTTGGTTGGAGACAGAACGACTAAGCCAAATTCAATCCACTGATTTTCAAATCTAAAGGAGGGATAGAACTCATAGTTTCCTAGTCTCTACACCAGCATTTAACCACTAT